GTATTGATCTGTCATCTGTTATTGCTGACAGATAAAATAAATAAATTTATTTCCACAAAACTTCTCCGTGCGATCAAAACAAAAATAAACTTTGTTTCTCAAATGTATGAAAATATTAAGTTTATATTCCTATTTAAATATAATAATTAATCAATTATTTAAATTATTATTCAAGAAAAAATTAAATATTTTACGTACAACATTTATAGTTCATTAATATCAACTGATTGTCGTACATAATATTCATACACATAAGAAACAATAAAATCAGCTGTGCAGTAAAAATCAATATTATATGATTCGTAAAATCAATAACAGATGACAGAGATCGGTACGCGTGTATGTGTAGTTACGGATCTGAGCGCGCGATATCATTGGCAAACTTTTATCGCTTATAACTCAAAAACTATTGCAACCTCAAAATTTTTGTATTAAAATTTTTAACTTTATTTTATCTCTAGAATACACTATTAAAGTATTGTACGGAGGTTGTGAGACACCCTGTATATATGAAAGGTTAGAGATAAAAGAAGCCTCGCGAGAGAGGCTTCGGAACTCTTTAATGCTAGTCATCTCGCTTGCTCTTCATTCGTTCTCGCTCTCGCTTTCGACGACTCTCCAGCAACGAGGATCTTTCCTTATTTACAATACATAAACATAAAATAAAAACTAAAACTTTTATTTTGTATTTTATCGATTTGAAAATAATTATAATGGTTTGATAAGATTTATGCGATTAAAATATGGCATCAAACGCGACATAAATCGGATATATCATACATGTGAATATATCATACGTTTAAATATTATACATTATTTTTTAATAATAAATAAATATTAATAAATACAAATAAATATTTAAAAAAAGAAAATAAATCTTCGAAAACTTGGACTCGACATCTAGTTTTCAAAGCGATAGAGTAATAAGCACTTTCTCTTGAGCAAATGTGTATTGTTAAAATTGATGTCAACGTTATCAATATACCTATATAACATATAACATTTCTCACATAAAACTTTATAAACTTTTTATTTCTACATTACAAATATCATTTGTAATTGCTTGAAATGCTTTTGTTTAAGGATAATAGATAAGGTAAAACATATTTTTTGCAGATGTTATTTTTATTAGAGAAAGAAATTTATTTTATTTATCATACTCAACATTATAAAGATTACAAAATTATACACAATAATTTATTTTGTTTTACAAGGATTGTTTTATTCACTACAATTTTTACAATTTACAATTTACTCTAGAATAAATTTAGTTTCTTAAAGTCTAAAGTTATTATTTATTTCTCTCTTTTGCGAGAATAATATTTTACATGTGCGCGTATATAAAATAATTTCAATACTTATAAAAAAATATTTTAATATAATAACATATATTATACATATATAATATACATTATACATATATTTTACATTAGATGATATACATAAAATAATTATAATAATTTCAATAACACATATACCGTCCATAATATGTATTAAAATAAAAATAAATCACGCGCAGCTAACATAAAATATTAACAAATCTATAATATTTTCGTATTTTTGATTAAAACGGCCGATTGATGTATGTCCATGCTAGATCCATAATTGTGGATCTAGCACGGACATGCACCAATCGATCGTTTTACCATGGCACCGAAAAGTGGATCCGGCCACGTAGTTCCGCCGGCTCTAAGATGGATCCAGTTAGCGCCACTGTACCGGCTAGAGAAAGCGTTAGTGCCGGTCTACAATAGGTGATTTAAGCCCTAAGCTTTAAGAAATTGACCAATCACAATCAAGTATGAGGAGAATACTCGACTGTGATTAGTCAATTTCTTAAGACTTAGGGCTTAAACCACCTATTGTAGATCGGCATTTACAGGAAAAACGGCGGCGTGGCCCCTCTCAGGTTTCTCTCTGCTAGAACTTTCAATCTCCTTTCCCCTTTGTCGTCAACCCCGCGGCAATACGCGACGAACAGATATTTCCTACGTCCTACGTCCTACATCCTACATCCATGCGAAAAACGGTGGCGTGGTGGTCATAGCCTCTTTCAGACTTCTCTTTCTCTTTGGTTTGACTTTGACCGTTTGACGTTCGACGTTGTGTAATGTATAAACATATGTAATATTTAATTATTTCTATTTAAAATGTACACATCTGTGATTAAAGAGGTGAGTATCAAAAATATATTATTAAATTGAAATTCGCTATTTTTGTCAAATATTGATATATATTAAATATTGATATAAATATATTCGCACGTGTACTATCTAACCACTATGTACCGGTATTTCCAATCAATTTTAAATTGTCACAAATAAAATAAGATAATTATGTTATTCAATATACCTACTTCATTGTAACGGCACACATTATTGACTCAATGTTAAATCAATTGCTAAAGTAGTATCTTATATAGGAGGACGAAAAGGAAGCAGGAAAACATAAGCGGTGTAAAGTTGACTGCCTTAAAGAAATTGAGGAAGAGATACAAGCATATTGGGAAAAATGGAAATTTCACAAAACGAGCACTGTTCACATTAAGCAATCACCTAATGAAAAATTTTTTGCGACCTTTCCATATCCTTATATGAATGGGCGTCTTCATTTGGGTCATGCTTTCTCACTATCAAAATGTGAGGTATGTCTATATTTCTATATTTTTTCTTGTATTTTTGTATATATTTTTACATATTAACTTCTACTGTTTTTTTTTAATTTGTTTTAAATTTGAATAATAAAACTATTAAATATATTTGTTAGTTTGCCATTCGATACAATCGTTTCTTGGGAAAGAAGGTACTATTTCCTTTAGGCTTTCACTGCACTGGTATGCCTATTAAAACAAGCGCTGATAAACTAAAGAGGGAAATGGAAATATATGGCTATCCCCCAAAATTTCCTGAAGACAATCAAATATTGGAAGAAAAAGTAGATGATGTGCTAAAGGATAAAAATAAATCTAGAAAGATTGAGATGGTGGAGAAAATGGATGATATTGTATTAAAAGATAAGAGCAAAGGAAAAAAGGTAAAAAAAGAATTCTAATACAATGGCACAATACATGTTTTTGAAAAAGATATAGCTTAATTGATATAAATTTCAGAGTAAGGCAGTTGCCAAAGCAGGTTCAGCAACATATCAATGGAAAATTATGCAGTCCCTTGGTTTACAAGATGAGGAAATCAAGAATTTTGTCGATACTGCATATTGGTTAGATTACTTTCCACAGCATGCTATCAATGATTCAAAATCTTTTGGTCTTCATGTAAGATAAAATGGAATAATTATCTTTATACTCATTTTTTTTTTTTTTGCATTCTCTATATCTTTGGAATGTTGTATAATTTTTTTTTGCATCATCTATATCTTTGGAATGTTGTATAGGTGGATTGGCGAAGATCATTCATTACAACAGATGTGAATCCATTTTATGATTCTTTCATACGCTGGCAATTTCATCATTTGAAATGTAAGAACAAAGTGAAATATGGAAAGAGATATACTATTTTTTCACCAAAAGATGGTCAACCATGTATGGATCACGATAGATCCTCTGGTGAAGGCGTTGGACCACAGGAATATACATTAATCAAGATGAAAGTGCAATGTCCTCAAAAAATTAAGTAATATTTTTTATATCGAATTATTTTTATATAATTTGTTAAAGTTCTATACTAAACTTTGTCAAATATACAATACAAATATTGTTACAGGAATTTTGGTAATAAATCAGTTTATCTCGTAGCTGCAACTTTGAGACCGGAGACAATGTATGGTCAAACAAACTGTTGGGTACATCCAGACATAAATTATATTGCATATAATTTAGCATGTGGGGATATATATATTTCTACAGAACGTGCGGCGAGAAATATGTCCTATCAAGGTTTCTTCAAAGAAGAGGGAAAGATAGATATTGTTTGCAATCTCACGGGCAAAGTGCGATTTATTTATTTATGAAACTTATATTTTAAGATTGTTTAAATATAAAAGGTTTATATATTTGTAGGACTTATTAGGATTAGCATTGGAATCTCCTCTCACAAGTAATAAGGTGATCTATGTATTGCCTATGTTGACAATAAAAGAAGAGAAGGGTACTGGAATTGTAACATCTGTCCCCAGTGATTCTCCTGATGATTATGCCGCATTAGTAGATCTGAAAATGAAACAGCCACTTAGAGAAAAATATAAGATCACCGATGAAATGGTGTTGCCATATAATCCAGTAAGAAGAATAGCACTTATTACTTAATTGTGAATGATATAAAAATCATAAAAAAGTATTTATATTTTTATTGTATTAGATTCCCATAATCGAAGTTCCAGAATTGGGCAATTTACTAGCGGTATCATTATACAAACAATTCAAAATTCAATCTCAAAATGATAAAGTCCAACTCATGAAAGCAAAGGAGATAGCATATTTGAAAGGATTTTATGATGGTGTATTAGTAATAGGTCCACATAAAGGCAAAAAAGTACAAGATGTCAAAAAACTAATTCAAAAAGAAATAATTGACAATGGTGAAGCTATAATCTATTATGAACCAGAGAAAACTATTATTTCAAGATCAAATGATGAATGTGTAGTGGCCCTATGTGATCAATGGTACTTGGATTATGGTGAAGAAGATTGGAAGAAAAAGACACTTAAAGCTTTAGAGAATCTTGATACCTTCCATGATGAAGTTAGAAAGAATTTCCTTAGATGTTTCGACTGGTTACATGAATATGCATGCTCTAGAAAATATGGACTTGGTAAATATATAATTTATAAAATTATTTTGTGTTAATAGAGCTATTCTTCTGATTCTTAGATTTTTAGGCACCAAATTACCATGGGACGAAAACTGGTTAATCGAATCTTTATCAGATTCGACTATTTACATGGCATACTATACAATAGCACATTTTTTGCAAGCAAATCTTAAAGGAGATGAACTTACTATACATCAAATAAAGTAAGTAATTGTTTTTATCTATAATTGCATATTAATATTTAATTGTTTCTTGTCAGACCCAGTCAAATGACTCCAGAAGTATGGGATTATATCTTCTTCAAAGACATTGATTTTCCTGAAACAAGTATAGATAAAACAATTCTAGATCAAATGAGATGCGAGTTTCAATATTGGTATCCAGTAGATTTGAGAGTGTCAGGAAAAGATCTGATACAGAATCATCTCACATATTTTCTTTACAATCATACAGCAATATGGCCGGATCAACCTGAATTGTGGCCAAAAGGAATAAGAGCAAATGGTCATCTGCTTCTGAATTCATCAAAAGTAATAATGTATAATTATTATTCTTAAAATAACTTTTTTAGATGTAAATTTTTTTTAATTGTTATATTTCAACACAGATGTCCAAGTCAGAGGGCAATTTTTTAACACTTGCCGAAACTATAGAAAAATACTCGGCTGATGGAACTCGTTTCTGTCTAGCTGATTCTGGTGATTCGATAGAGGATGCCAATTTTGTTGAAAATTCAGCCGATGCAGGAGTTCTTAAACTATATAATTTCCTTTCTTGGGTCAAAACAATATATGATAATGATGAAAAAATGCACTACAGAGAAGAATGGCCATATACTTTCCATGACAAAGTTTTTGAAAGGTATTTCTCTTTTTTATGTTTGTTTTATTATTATTAGATAAAACTGAAATATATGATACATTTATTTAATGTAGCGAAATGAACTTAAAAATAAGAGAAACTGGTGAAAATTATTCGAAAATGCTTTACAAGGAAGCATTAAAGACAGGATTTTATGAATTTCAAGCAGCAAAAGATAAATATTTGCAATTAAGTGAAATGGAAAATTACAATAAAACTCTTATTATGAAATATATACAAACTCAAACAATTATGTTAGCTCCCATTTGTCCACATATTTGCGAACATATATGGAATATATATATACATAATAATACAGTAAAGGTAAGTTTTAATGCTAAAGTAAATATTTATATATTGCTCTATACAAAAACATAATTGAAAAATGTGATTTATCAGCCCTGTAGCATATTCAATGAAAAATGGCCTGCTGTGGGAGAAATAGATGAAATTCTAATAAAATCATCCCAATATCTGATGGATGCTGCTCACACATTCAGAAATCTTCTAAGAAATTACAATACATCAAAGAAGTCTTCAAAGAAAGATAGTGACATAGAGAAACCTAAGCAAGGAATTATATGGATAGCCAAGACTTATCTTCCTTGGCAAAATGTTGTTCTTACAACTATGAAAGAAATGTATCTTGTAAGTCATAATAATATTTTATAAAATATTAATTTTCGTCCATTGATATTTTTGCTTATGTTACAGAAAAATGGAAATAAATTACCAGATAATAAAGTACTCGTTACAGAGCTAGGAAACAGAGAAGAGTTGAAAAAATATATGAAAAAAGTAATGCCATTCGCGCAATTTATAAAGGAAAAAATGGAAGCTATTGGTATTAGTGCCCTAGATTTGACACTTGAATTTAACGAGTTTGAGATACTTGAAAAGAACAAGAAGTATCTTAAAAAAACATTGGAGGTAAGATTTTTTTTTTTTTTTTTTTTTTCGATTTGTTTATTATGTTTTTAATATATATTTATATTTTTGTTTTTTATTTATTGTCAGCTTGAGCATATTGCCATAAAATATACTGACAAAGCTCCAGAAAAGACAAAGGAAGGATGTTCTCCAGGATTTCCATATATGAATTTTTCTACAAAGCCTGCACTTCTAATGCACATGAGTAATCCACAAATTTACAGTGGTTTATTTGAACTACCTGTGAAGGTTTCACTTGCAATGAATACAGTTGAAGATATCGTATCGTATATTGTAAAAAAACATAAGCATATAAATGGTATATAATAATTTCTATATAATTAATAAGTTCATTGACTACATAGAATCCACATTAATTATATTTATATCTAGATCCTGCTTCCATCGTATTATATCGGTATGATGACCCATGTCTGGGATCAAGAATTAAACCAGAAATAGAGACTATTTTAAAAAGAAAAACTGAGATTCCACCTAATGCTATATTTAATGTAAATACAGAAACAGAAAGTATTGAAATCAGCATTGGAAATAATATATACCCAATAGGCAAGTACTTAATATATATTGATAAATCTTTGGAAAATTAAATGCGATAGATTTGATTCCAATAATGAAAAGTTATATTATTGTCACATAAGTATGTAATCAATTATTTGTGAAACAATGAAAAATATGATTATTGATAAATTTATAAAACAGTATTTCATAAAATAATTATTGTGCATTATATAATATAAAAGAAAAGAATAATATACTAAATTTTTTTTACATCCATCTCTCTTATTAATCCTTAGATATCGAAATGAGATCTCGTGATCTCAGATTCACAATTTCTTTTATATTTTATTTGTACATGTTGGTATCACTATGTTTCCTTCTATTTGTGTCATTTATCATTGGAAATTATTTTGTCTTACTAAATTTGTTTTAAACAATATATAATTAGAAATAAATTGAATCTCATTGTGTATTACAAGTAAGTCAAGAATTTTCAAAATATTCTTTTTAATATTTTGTCTTTTTTTTTTAATTTATATTATTAGTTACAAACAACATATATATTTAGCCTGTAAAAATGTTTTAAAAAATTTTTTAATACATGTATATATACCACTTTAAGAAGAGATAAAACTGTCAAAAACAATAGAATACCTAAAACAAGGTATCGTATTGGTACTTACATTGACTTTCAAAATTTAAGCAATATTAGAGCTGATAGTAATATACAATAATATTTTTTATAATTCAAAAAAGAGGAAGTGTTACAAGGTCTTCGTATAATAGTTTTATTATAAATAAAAAATATATTGTATACATTTTTGTGAGACTAATAATGCTTGATTTATACTTAATTATTATTTTTTGTATGCAAAATAAATTAGATTATGTCCTAGTTTACACCGATATACTTTAATACGTACTAAATACTATATTGTCCAATTACAGTCATTCCATTCTTTAAAGGAATGACCATGATTGGCCAATGTAGTACTTAGTACGTATTAAAATATATCGGTGTAAATTATTAAAATCTTGATATGGCACATAATCCGAAGTACAAAGCAATTTGCTTCATAAAATATTAAATATTATGGCACAATATGCATTGTTAATTTATTGTCATGGAAAACACATAATAGGCACTTTCAATGCAAAGTTCATATATCTATATGCTGTGTTTGCCATTGATCCACTTTGGATCGTATTTTTTTTATATCTGTAGCATACGTTCTACAACATCCACCGATGTAGCAAACGCCAAGATCCAGCCATTCGTCAATAAATTCGTGCAAAGAGGGAGCCTCTCCTTCCTTCTTCCATCCCTCGGATACTATGTACTTCTCTCCACTGTTAGGGTATACCACCAATGGTATAAAATCGTCCGAGCTGCTTCGATTGATGCCTTTCAATAAGGTGGTAACGTATTGTGGTGCAATACAATTAATGCCGACCGCTAATATTTGTCCTGGGAGTGCATTCTTGTAACATCTCACGGCGATCTCCTGAAAGTTGCTACCATCCGCTATACTCTTCCCGTCATTTCTACAGGAGAAGGTCAACCATGCGTGTATATCCGGAAATTCCTTGAGTAAATCGATTAAAGCTTCTGCCTCGCGAACGCAGGGTATTGTTTCTATCGCCAATAGATCAACACCTTTCTCTACCAACGTGCGTATACGAGGCCTGTGCCAATCGACCAAAAATTTTCGCGATACATCTGGGCAATACGAACCGGTGTACTCCGAGCCATCGTGTAAAGAGGCGCCGTAAGGTCCGCAAGACCCAGCGATCAGGGGTTTTCGGTTCGTCACGTTTGCATCGCCTTCTATTTCTTTACTATAAACGTTCACGGCATTTTTAGCGTAGTCGACCGCCTTACGAATTATCTGGAGACTTTCTTCCTCGGTGATATCCAAATATTTTACAAAACCGTCAATCGTAGCTTGATACGTGTTCGTCAATATAACGTCGGCGCCAGCTCGCAAGAAGTCCAAGTGCGTAGCGAAGACAGCGTCCGGATTAGTTATGAGGAAACGTGCGGTCCATAAAGGATCACCATCGATCTTTTCACCTACGTGGGTGGACAGTTGCGTAGAGAAACCAGCATCCAGCACTTTTATCTGCGACATGTTTTTTTCTTCAATTTTACAAATTTGATTTCATGAAATCCCGGTCGATAGCACATAAACGTACATACAATTGATACGCTTCACGAAAGTAAGAAGATGCTGATCCAACTTACGTGGATCGTATTGCCACAGAGCCAACCGTGTCGAGGACGACTTGCCGTTATCGCGGCTGCTACATTTCGATAATCTATTATCAGCAAAGAGCGTGTCACCAACGATAGACAAAGATAAATTACTGATAAATCTCGTGCATCTTCTGCATTCGCTCATTGCGCATGTGCTCTAGATCATCTATGTTTATCTGTCACATGTCACATGCTTATCTGTCGCTGATGTAACACGATTGCTTTATTGGTAAGTATGTATTTATGTAGGCAGAGACCAGAGAAAAAAAGTCACGATACGAGAAGACAGGATACTGTGCGACGATAAAATATTGTCTGGCGATATCTACGCAACTATTTATCTACTCTGTTTTTCGAATAAACAACTGCTTGACCTCATAGGGCATAAATTTGTTATAAAACATAGAAAATACATGAAGATAAATAGTGTTTACTTGTAGTGATCATTTGATCATAATAAATTATCAATATTTTTCACATGCCAGGGAACTGTAAGCGCTGCATTTTACATTTCAGATATGTTTTTATAATAGATGTTTTTCAACTATAGATAAAAATAAATCACATGTTCCGAACAAAATACACGACGTAGAGCAATATGATATTTTTATTATATTAAAAAAAAATACAAATAGAATTTTATTAAAAAAAAAATATATATATATATGTAATATCTTGTTTCTTTTAAATAGAAATATATATTGTGTGTAAATATTAATGTAAAATTTAAAAATTATAGCTGTATAAAATATTGTACTGATATTGTACTTATGTGTTATAAACAATTACTGATTATAATGCAATTGCATTGATATTTACACGACAGACTTCTCATATTATAATGATCATCAGACATACAATCATTACATCAGCTTTAATCTTTTTAACTTTTAAACTTACTTCACATTTTCAGCTAATTATATAAACACGCGCTATCTTCAATTATGATAATCAACAAAGAGAAAGACTTTGATAAGCGTATAGGAATATTCATAAAAATGTGCATCATGCGAGTTCGGTGATCATTGCATCAGTTCGATCATAAAAGGAATCATATTGCTGCGATTTTTGCGTAATACTGATCGACTTCCGATCGAATCGTTTTTATATCTTCCGCGAAGATCTTGCAGCAACCACCGATGTAACGAACTCCCATGTCCAACCATTCTGATATAGGTAGATTCAAGGAATGATCATCCGGGACCGCGGTCCATCTGCCGGTCGTGGAACAGCTGCCACCTCTGTTAGGGTACACTATCAGAGGAATGAAATCTCGCGATGATGCACTCCCGTTGATTCCCTTCAACAAGGGAGTCACGTACCTCGGATCGATGCAATTAACACCGACCGCGATGATCTGCGATGGCGAAGCTCGGTAACAGCGCACGGCTGCTTCGTGGAAGATGCTACCGTCCGCCAACAGCTGACCATCTCGACAGGAGAACGAGAGCCATGCACGAGCGTGTGGAAATTCTCGCAATAGCTCCAGCAGAGCTTCCGCTTCCTCGACGCAGGGTATAGTTTCTAGAGCCAACAGATCGACACCGGCGTTCAATAATGCTTGAATGCGCGGTCTGTGCCAATCGATCAGTTCTTGTCGAGATATGGATTTCCCATAGGAACCGGTATACTCCGACGAATCATGCAAATAAGCGCCATAAGGACCGCAAGAACCAGCCACCATGGGTCTCGTGTCGATATGTGGCTTCCGAAGATTATCCGTTTCTTGAGTATAAACATCTACGGCCTTCTTCGCCAGGGCCACGGCCTTGGCAAGCAAATCTAGACTCTCGCGTTCGCTCATATTTAGATACTTAGTCAAGCCGGGCACGGACGCCTGATAAGTGTTGGTTTCGATAACATCGACGCCGGCACGCAGGAAGTCCAAGTGCGTAGTATATACAGCGTCGGGATCGGTCGCGAGAAATCGCGACGTCCACAACGGATCGCCATCAATCTTCCCAACGTGACGTGACAGTTGCCCTGAAAAGCCGCCGTCCAAAACCTTCACGGTTGTCATGGTCGATGATACCGGCCAGCGATGAGTGTTTGCTCGACGTTTATCACGTTTCTTTGGATTCGTTGCACGGTTCTGAGAAGAGAAGAATGTTACTTTTCTGGTCAGTAAATGATTTATCTCTGAGATTATTCTCTGACCGATCCTCGGAATCACATGTACCTCTTAAGGTTAGCTTAAGATTAAAGCGAATGCGTTCTTTCTTTCGCTTTTTGTCGCAGACGACACTATCACCTGAGAAGAAGTAATGACTTGATAAGATAGGTTTACTTTATGCAGTCATGCTTTATACAGTTGCCAAATAATATGAACAATTAGAAAACTTCTGCATTGCTAACAATCGGAATTAATTGTTATTCTCGTTGTGGCCATTTTGGATTGCGTATATCAAAACTTCCGAGCACTTCCGAGATAGCGTGAGACATGTATTATGTCCAGATAACATAGCATACTTGCAAAACGTTTTGAAAGCAGAATAATCAAATGTAGACTAATTTGGATTTTTATTTATTAATCGTTAAACGAAATAATTAAAGAAAATGAATACATCTTCCACTGTTAGATATTTTTATATTTTATTTGTTTAAATGCTTTTTTAAATGTATCTTTTTGACAGGTATATATAATATTAATATTGTATATTATATCAAATTTTATGAATTTTTTTGTATTTAAGTTATTGTTATTGAAACATTTCCAGAAAAAAAGAAGATATATGTTTAACTTATAAAAAGTAATGTTTATTAATCATTCTTATTATTAATTCTATATTAATTTGCATTTTAAATTTAAAAAACGCAATTTTTGCATGCTTAATTTTTATAATACTCCAAGATGATTTTCTACAACAGCATGTGGCTGTCCCATTTGTTCTCTGAATTCTGGGATATTGAAAATATCTTCAAATCTAAAAATAACAATATAGATGAACAAAAATTGTCTAATGTAGAAATTGATATCTATTAGTGGAAAAATAATTATTATAAACATCTTACCCTATATCTTGATCTCGTCCAAGCAAGACATCCCGCATCATGTTAGATGATGGTAGAAATGGAAGTCTTCCAATCTTCTCAGTGGCTTTCAATTCCATTGCTATACGCAATGGTGCATGTAATCCTTGCGTGTTTCTAAGTAGTATCATGTTCATACGATCTTGATTTTTCACATACTGAAATAAGTAACGTAGTTACAATTATAATTTTTCACAGTTATATTCAGTGTTAATGAAATGCAATAACTCTTACATTTCTTTCTGAAGCTTCCAAGGGATGTGCGTAACCAATGCTCTGTCTTGTTGCCGATAAACTAAACAAATAAAAACAACACCATAGAAAACAGACTGGAAACAGCCATAAATTATTCAAGCCATTTTTATAAAGAAATATTTATACTATATAATAGGAAAAGTAAGTTTTGAATTCTAATTATTCTGATGGCCTGATTTATATATATATATTTTTTTTTGCGAACTAGAGTTTTAAAAAAAGCATATAATTAAAAGTATATTAATTTTTCGTTTATTAATTAATTTTAGTAATAGTATATTCTCATACCCTGATATCATAGGATTAGGTACACCATAATTAGTTCCTCCTTTAATTTCAAATTGCTCAGGTACAGTAGACTTAGGTATGATTGATGGCAAGCCGAAACTCTAAAATAATAATCATAATTGAGAATTAAGTTTCTTACATGTCAAGTAAGCTTTCTCAACATGACAGAAATTGGTAAGATTTTGGCGATGAATTGAAAACTATATATAATCAAATATCTTTATATAATATAGCACGAGTATGATTTACTCTTGATTGTATATAATATTATTAATTATTTTTTTTATAACTATTTGTTACATTATTAAATATAATGAAATTTAAATAGGACAAAGTTGACTGTCATTGCCAACATAACCTGTCGTGCAAATTCATATATAGTGAATTATACAAAATAATTTTGACACTGATAGCTTATATTTATACGCTATAAACACATTATGCAGAGAATATCAATTATTACCATTTTATCGCTTGAAAATTCACGCACGACAATAAACTGGCGAAAAAATTCGAGACAGAGAAAGGACTTGTTACGAATAGTCACGAATCTGCGAATACTATATACTATATATATATCAAGAATCTCATCCGGCCGGATTCACAGTCGACGTATTCTGATTGGCTATCGGATAGAGAATTTCTAGTTTCAAAAATTTCTTGCAATATCAGCCAATCAATATGTCCGAGAGTTTGGTCGAGGTTCGGTCTTAAACGTATTGCAATTGTGTCGACTATTATAATTATAATCAATGATCAATGATCATTTCGCGAATATTTCGCGAGATTCGAAACCATATGTATCCTCAAGAATAGCGGATGTATCGTAGACGAAATACATCGGTGTTCATTATTTTTCTTCTTAGCGGGTTTCTTATTTCGTATACAATATCTACTTGAAGATTTAGTGTGTAAATAAATAGTATCACCTGTTGTTCGTATTATATATCGTGCAAATATTAATATAATATTAATATATTAATATTATGTTAAATTGTTGTATGTATGTTACATGCACATAAATAAAACATCTATCGAGGTAAGTTTAAAAATAACTTAAAAATTAATTAAATTCCTATACATAGCAAAGTTAGACAAAAGTGTAGATTAAACATGCAGTATTGACAAAAACATATTTAAAATTTCAATTTTTTCTTAAATAATGCTCGGAAATAATTAACTTTCTCAAAACACTGTTATATATATATATATATATATATAAATAAAATGAACCATTTAGTATTGTTTATCGTTAACATCTTTCATGTAGAAATATTGCAAAAAATTATTTTATTATAATATTTTATTATTAAAATTATATAAAAATTGAATTTTGCAATATTTCCGAAATATTAATGTCATGTTGCTACAAGTGTGCTGGTACTTTGTGGCTCTATATTTCTGCAATGTCTTTGTAATATTGCATTGCAATTTGCAACATTGTAATGTTGCTGCAATATAATTGCAATGATCTGTGCTGTATGGGTCCGCGCATAAATTTCGATTAATTTGGTCTTATTGAAAATTGTACGCCATTTTTGTTACTGTTTAAGAACTGCTTCAAAAAATATATGCGCTAATTCTATATTTGTTATTCTCAAAATATATGTTGCTAATATTTAATATTAACAAAATTAGCATATATTAATAATAACATATTGTTGCATATTCAATATTGAATATTTTGTTGTAATTAACATATATATATTAGCATATCAATGTTCATACATTGTTACATATTCAATATTGAATATTTTGTTGTAATTAACATATATATATTAGCATATCAATGTTCATACATTTTGTTGCATATTCATATTGCATATATTGAATATTTTGTTGTAGTTGGCAATACATAATAGTTTTTAAAGATAAGATAAAAAAGAGAAGATAACAATATACATATAGAAGCAAAAACAATATAGAAGTTTTACACATTTAATTAATCCCAAATTTATTTTCTTATAATAGAATTTACGCATTATTATTATATTATATTATTATGCATTTTTATGTTATTAGTAAAAAATAAAAATAGTACTAAATAAAAAATAGTACTAAAGTATTAAAGAATGCTTATGCAAATTTCACTGGTGACTATTATATTCCTCAGGGCTCACATTATCAGTATGGGTAATGAACCTGATATATAAGCCATGAGACGTAAACGATTAATTATGACCAAATAAGTCATAAGCAAAGCAATCAATCACATTGACAAAAACATTCTCACAACGTAGTAATATTGCTTGACTAATTAATTAGTCAAGCCTCATGGGTACTTATAGCCTTATCCGAGCTACAAATTATGTGGGCTCAAGATTGACCCTGAATTTTTAATATAATTCCCAATAAAGTAAAAATTTCGGGTCAACCTTGAATCATATACATATAATATTACCACGGCTAAAAAAAATAGGCAACCTTCAATAAATTTTATTGCATATAACACTTACTGGCATATACGGGTAAAAAGAGAGTTCAAATAAACATATAGAGAAGAATAAAAAGACACTGCTGGCTATACATATAGTGGCGCCGCGTAACAGTACGATATAAAGGATTGATTAAACAAGTCATCCGACACCCGACTAACATCAGTTTGAGGCTTTTTGAGACAGTGATCCATCTGTTTGCAAAGATAAAAAATTGATAGTATTTATAATTTATAGACGATAAACAAAATTTTGTAATTTGTTTTAACGATGTCCTTATACGCAATAAAAAGGAGTACCTTGCGGCAATCGCTCTTATTAAGATTGCCAAGGAAGACTTCGCTACTTATTAGGGTGAGGAAATCTTTATTTCGATAATATTTTGCAGGATTTCGGTTCAGATACATGTGCATATAATTTGAAATCTTGAGTTTGAAATATTTTATTGCAAAGATATTTAAGAAATTTATAATAATACGTATCAAAAGAGATTCCTTGATTATACAAATAGCAATACATTATATGATATAGCAGTAACATTCTTATATATTTAAAATATTAATTTATTTTTATATAATATTTTAAGTGAAATCCATAAAGTAAATTATAATTGCGTACTATTTATTAATATGAAAAATAATATTACGGTTTTAATTAAGGTTATAATTTGACAATTCATATTATATATAATAAACTGATTGTTATACTGCTTTTTTTTTAATATATAATATATAAATATTAATATATTATATTGTGTGTATGTTGATAAGATACGTTTTTTTTTAGATAAGATATAGAAAAAAATGTAATTAATGATAATTATAGATACATAAGAAGTATTTATATTTATATAACTAGATACCCCTTACATTACTGAGCATTCTTGTATATCCTTATTTAGGTCGAAAGATTAAGAGGTCGTTATTTGTTTCGGTCAGCGGTGCGACGCGTTTTAGAATATATGGAATGGATAACGGAGATACCAATAATCGAAGAAATTAGCGACGATGTAACGATTAATATCAAACTGGCTCAACAGAGACACAAAGCAGAAAAGAAGCTGCTCACGTTAGAGGTACTTGATGAAGCATATATGTATATGCGCGAGACTTACTTAAAAAAATAAATAATTCAGAATAAAAAAAAATATCAGAACTTTATAACGCGAATCGATAAACAATTTATTGCTTATTTAAGGATCGATCGATACTGTTAGTGAATCCGATTGAAAGATCCTCTACGGACAAAGCGTATATATACGATCTTATTAAAAAATTGCGCGCATTCTCGAAACATTCGGAGGATTTGAGAGAAAATCTAGCCGAGGTATGCATTTATCAGTATTTACCGGCTGGTCGTGTAATTGTTCGTCAGGATCATAAGGCGGAAAATCTTTATTTTATTGCGAATGGCGAAGTCAGTCTATCGAGAGTTGCGATCGACGAATTGTCAGGTGAGAAAAATAGCGGCACGAAATATTGCACATTCTTGGACACTAAAATTTAATTGCATTGAACGAGATGATTTAAGATAATAATCTTTACATTGAATATTAGTTGGAACGTTCACTGATTCATATGCGAGATATATTTCTATCAGGATTCCCGATAATATAATTTGTATTTTCCGATATATATACTACATAATATCCGAGAATTTCTGAATTAATTTTTTTTTACCAATAATTTAACACCGCGTCATGATTATTTTGACAATTTTTGAAAACTTATCTTGGAAGAGATCTTTCTGTCTATATATCAAAGGATGAGCCATACATTATAAGGTTAATGTAAAAAGCTGTGCAATATTTTTCGTTAGGTGATGAGAAAACTATAGACATGGGCATCATGCAATCAGGGGATATGTTTGGCGAAGTTGCATTATTCCATACGATACCGAGAACATCAACTGTGGTTACCAAAAGTTAGTAGACGCGAATTGTGAACTTGATGATATATTTTTTAGATTAAAATTTATATTATTTTCTTACAAATATCATTTAGCATCAGTCGATTTGCTTCTAATTAGACGGGACGATTTCGATAACATCTTGCGCAGTGTCTTGACGAAAAAATGGGACGTTTTGCGCGACGCGTTAGTTCATTTCAATTATTTCAAAGCGTGGGACGAAGAAACGGTACGAGAGTGTTGCATTCTGAGCAAGCTGAAAAACTTTAAGCCTAACGAGGTAAATAATAATCTGACGGTGTAATAATAATTTTACGATGAAATATCTCGATTATTCTCGCGCGTTCTCCAGGATCTTGATTTATTTAATATAAATCCATCAATAAAATAGTAAAATAGAATACACATGAAAAGAGAAGTAGTAATAATAAATGTCAATTAATTTGAAAGGTTCTGTTAGGCGATGGAACAGGCATGGTGAATTATGTGCATTTTATTTTAAGTGGCGAATGCCGCCTTATCGAACATATGCTCGTCCGTGAACGGCCCTCTTATCATGGAATACAATACGAATTATATGATCCCGAAATTTCTTCGGGTCCGCAACAACAACCAAGAGAAGTGTCAAAAAAAATTGCAAAATCTAACAAGCTACCTGACTTGAATTACAATTTTAATCAAGTACGACTGTTATAAAAAGAAGTTAAATTTCCTTTAGACTAATCATTACGTGAACTTTTTTCCGCTTGCACTTGTATCTATTAGATCAGTCAAAAAGTAAAGGGACTTTTTTGTTTGTTTTTTGTCCCTTCACTTTTTAACTGAGCTTATATTTCGACGTACCAATGCACTGCACATACGCATCGTGTTGATTTTTAATGCAAAGAAAGCATTTTAAATAACTAAATTTCTTTCTTGTATACATAAGCTTAGAAAAAAAATTGCGTAGTTTATATTAACATTTTTTATATGTATCGTATCTTCTATATAATAAATGTGACTTGCATTTATTGCGCAAAGATACAAGAATATTTTGCAAAAGTTTTGCTTCTAGTTTTGTGTATAGCTAGAATAATATGCGGAAAAAATTTGCATTAGTCAATGATCGTATATCTACTAGCTATTTTAGTCATTATTAGAAAAACGTTTTGGTACTTTCAATTATTATCAACTAAAAATTCGTACAATCTGTTTAATTCATTCTTTTAATTATTACAGAGACCTGCCAACACGCACACAGACGTTGACCGGTTAAGTATTGTTACTACTACACTTTTGGATGTTGTGAGTATTTTTACAACATAATACAATATATTTCTTCCTACATAGATAGAACCACGTTACATCGAATTATATTACAATACATTATAATACAACACACGAAATTATAATTTATTATATTAAAATAGCTAGCTCCAAATGATGGATTGAGATAATAATTGATTGAAGTTTACATATCAATCAAACTTATTGAAGCAAAATGATTACGTATCCGGATAAATTCTATTTGATTCGTTATTATAATTTAGGACGGTTGAGAAGTTCGCGTGTGTTAATAGATATTGAAAAATCAAGGTTAAAGGATGGCACGAAATTACTGATGTCGCGGCGATGTTGATGCGAGAACCATCCGTTACGTCTCAGTTACGTTATCCGGACGACATTCGTACTATATTTATGCAAGTATGCACTTTTTCTCGAGGTGCATGTTTCGGTTTAGGTGAGAGAGAAATGATTCAAAATATGTCTTTCTCTACCATCCAGTGCGTATGGCGATTAAATAAATTAAAATTTATTAAATTAGGAGAGAATATGCTTCATCGGAGAATCGTAGCGATTACACCGGTACGATGTTTTCTTATTCCCCGATATTGGTTGCTCGAGCACAATCGTGCTAATATCTGGGGACGCGTAAAACAGTTCATGGACTCAAAATATCCAACTAAGAAACAATTATTCAACGAGTTTCTTCTAAATCGAAAGTACGATAATTTGCATCAACTTCGCTTTCTTTAATATCTTTGTTTCTTCTAATTATCAATAGCGATTTAGATAAAAATTATTGCTATTATTCCGGCTTCCATTTCAGATGGATGTCGTACAAACAGAATTTAGTTGAAGATGTTGTTAAACGACGTGGTCGCTATCGTAGTAGCACAACGATACACGACGTGCCGTATTCTATCAGAATTACAGATGAGATAGATCCAAAAATATAATTACTCATTTCGCGATTTTTATCGAATCAATATTACTTTAAATTACACAAACGTATTGTGTATTAAAACAGGTTGATAAAATATCAGAACTAAAAATAAGGAAAGTAGAATTAAATAATTATAATAAATAAAATTAATCAATAATGTAACATAACATAAATTAATAATACGAGCTAATAAGAGCCAATCGCACGATAATAAGCAAAAGTAAAAAACAACGTATTGAAGATTTCAAAAGTTATTTTTATTTTATGTTCTTTCACTTATGCATATGTAATATATTACGCTTATTTTTTTATTATTTATATCAATAATTCCACTGAAACGGACTAAAACATTTAAAATAAAAATAACTCTTTTGAATCCATTTTTTTTACTTTTGCTTGTTATCATGTGATTGGCCTTTATTAGTCCGTATTATTAATTTATGTTATATTAAATAACTATAATCGACAAATTATATGTATACATTTGCAAATCATGCAATTAAGTGATTAACTATATACATATATTACTAACATTTATACTATAGATGTTATTGATGTTAAGGAATAAATATATATATGTATATCAAAGTATGCCCAAATAATGTTTGTCACTTAGATATGATCATTATTTAATTCTTTTTTACAGAAATAAAACATGAAAATATTATACATTTAATGTCTTATTGTATATTTGACGCTTGTACAAAAATTTGTTTTTAACTTAATGTGGCTGATTTCTAAGAATAATTTTCTAAATTTTTGAAATAATTAGTTATTCTATATCAACACATAGTGTTTTATATATAATGTTTACAAAGCAAAGTGCAAATATTATGAGTATTAAGTACAAATTGATGAGATATTTTTATCTGTATCTTACGTTATAAAATAGATATATAATCTAATATCTAACATTATGCAAATTTTTTTAAATTTTTTACAATTTTGCGAAAAACTTACAAAAACATTAAGTCCCGCGTGAATATTATCTTTGCGATAAAATAGAAACATAAAAAATTTAAATATTGATATTTTGAATAAATCGCAATAGGAATAAAACATTTCAATAATGAAATAGAAATTTGCAAAGCATTTTCTTATCATATATTATATCTTGTTTAAGTATTCCATATCATTGTACTTTGTATATGTGACGAGAAAGAAATTAATATGACAATATTACAATGTTATTTAATATTCTAAAATATTAACTAATTAGGTATTTAAATTCCAAAGTCTTAGTAGATAACAATTTTATGATACATTTTTTGTATTAGCAAATAAATCATACGCAATAATTATACACAGATGCACAATTTGCCGAGAATATATTAGTTATTTATAGTTTGATAAATGTTTCGAATTGTTATATATATTCCAGATAGAAAGCATCATAAAATATTCGAAAATGTTAATTCTTAAGATCAGGAAGTGCATTTATTGATAAAATATAATTTTTTTGTAAAACCTTATTCCCGTGAGGAAATATGTAAACCATTTTGCAAACAAAAAATCTATATCAAATCGCGTTGAAAATAAATAAATAAGAGAATTAAAATCTTTGCATATAATAAGCACGAATATACTGACAATGAGTGTTTTATGCTCTCTGTGATATATATTCATAAGAAATAATTTTTTTATTTCTATTCACTGACGCTATTAATCACATTTCTCGCTGATCCTATTAATTACCATGGCACATCGATTGAGAGACATTTCACAAAATACTAAATTGGATGTTATTTGATATTATTAGATACTATGTTCCACGCACATAATTCTATATGCGTATATGGAGGTCTGTGATTCCACGATAATATCAAGATATACAATTATAACTATAATAGTAGAAAAAGTCAGTCCAATACAAAATTACAAACAAATCACTAAGTCACATTGAATCCTGTCTTTAAAACGGTTCAATAGTCACAAAAACACACGACTGAAATCATTATAAGCGAACTAAGCTCTCTGATCCATCTCGCGGGTATTTATCATCACGTAGCTAGGATTGCTGAAGCCGTCTGGCACACCCAGTCTTAGATCGCTCTTCTGTTTTGGCATGTTCACGTAATTATCCTGAGTACTAATGATAGACGGCGCGTAGTCCTTTTTCGAGTCCACGCCCGCTCGCTCAGCCGCGTCGTTTTCATCCACATCATTCAGGTCGATCAGATGAAGATTTCGCGGCGCGTTGCAGTAACCGGAATCTCGATCGATCGGTCTCTCGGCCATCTGGTTTTTCATCGCTTGTCTCTGTCGTGCGAATTCTGCCCTTCGCTCCTGTACGTTAATCGGCTTCAGGTAGGGGTCCTCCTCTTGTTTTAACATGGGTGACAATTCGACCGCATCCTCCGAGTCCGATGCTGGTGACGGGAACTCGAAATGCGAACGATCCTCATTTGGCCTAGGACTAAATATCCCGGACTCGTTTGTCTGACAGCTGGGACTCATACATAAGTACGTCGAATCTGGCGCGCCCTCCGAGAATGGTGAATTCGCATAATTATGTCCCGGTGACGATAAAGCTCCGTGATCCGGCGCGGACATCATTGTTAAATAGTCATTCTTACCACTCTCCAGGATCATCGTGTTCAAATCCATATATGGGGTATTCAGACTAATATAGTGCTGGAATAGAAATATATAATTTTGTTACGCGCTGTACTTTGCTGGAAACGTAACAATTATTCATAGAAATTTCAGATATGTAGTGCTTTGGATAGTATTTATTTTTCTAAGCAGAATTATCTCAAGTCTAATGCGATTGAATTATTAACTATATCTTTAATTTAAATATCAAATTACTTTTTAATATTAATAAATCTTTTTTTATTATTATTAGTGTTATTATATTGGTCTTGGAAAATTGATTTATATATTGTATCTCTCATATCATGGCACAATAACCTAATTAGATGAAAAATAACTCACCGATCTCACGCTTTCCTCCAATAAATTACCAATATTCTCCGCGAGGTCTGTGAAACTTGGGCGTAGTGTGGGTTTAGCTTTCCAACATTGTGACATTATGTCATATATTTCGCGAATGGCATACTCTGGCTGCTCCATTCTGTAGCCTTCGATCAATTTTTGATACAATTTCTCGGCCTCCATGCCAGGATACGGCGTCTCAGCCAGGGTAAAGAATTCCCAAAGAACTATTCCGAATGACCATATATCACTTTGCGTCGAAAAAATTCGATCTCTAATTGATTCGATTGCCATCCATTTTATAGGCAACGGACCATCGCCTTTCTTTTTATAATTATCATCTTTGTACATAGTCTTTGCTAGGCCAAAATCGCAGATCTTTACTATATTGTTCTCGCAAAGCAAGATATTTCTGGCGGCAAGGTCGCCGTGCAATACCTGATAACAAACATTAATGTGAAAGCCTTGAAAAACTATAAATTCTCAAATATTCGAATATAGCTTAAACAAATAAATTTTTTTAGACATTTAATGTTGCAAACTTATGTAAAAATTTTGATTACATTATTTTAAATTACATAACTCTAATATATTTATTATGCTAGTTAAATATTTTACCCTTCTTTGACTGAGATATTCCATTCCACGTGCTACTTGAAAGGCATACGATAAAAGATCTTGAGTGCAAATCGGTGTGAGATTTTGGTCTTTGTAATCACCGCGATAATTTGTCCTCCATCCTTGAGATGAATTATTGCTGAGAACGCAGCCGTCTGGCGAAAAGTTGATTTGGGTGTCCGGGTCCGTTCCTGGATAATAGTGCACCACCGTATCGGTGCCTGAATTCGCACTAAGACTGCGAGAGAAGGATAATGCTGCATATTTTATCCTGTCGTACGGACAGAAGAAAAAAGGAAGAACTCTGTTAAACCGCAGCCCCTTGCATGCATCAGTGCATGTGTATGTGCGTGCATTACTTAACACCCAGAATACATTCATAGACAGAATGCGATTATTCAAGTTAGAGATTTTGAGATTTGACGTAGAATAAGCTAATACACAAAATTCTCTGTAGTATTAGTATAGAAATTCGTTGAAAACATATTTAATTGGAAATAAAGAAATATAATTAATTTTTTAGTTTTTGATATTGATTAGTATTCTCTAGAAGATTGTTTAAAACATAGAGAAAGAATATATGCTTTCAATTAATTTGCATTACATTTTACGAAAGCAGTTTAAGTAATAATTGGTGAAATACAGAGTTTAGAATGCATCTAAAATATTTGTTAAAACGTGTTATATTATGTGTGTTACTTATTAACAAAATAGAAGACAAATACATTGACAATTAATGGTAACATAGAATGTTTATAAAATATAATTCATAGACAAACCTGTTATTACTACTGACACTGCCAGTTCTCGTCAGCATATCCATACCGATAGTAAGATCGAGTTTTCCAGTGTTGGGATCGATTTGATTAATAAAATTGTTTCTATGTCTCAAAAGATAATTATGCAAATTTCCGAAACGACAATATTCGACAATCACCAACAATTCGCCTGTTGTAACAAAGATTTTAATCCTTAGTGCATTTTGAATAACTATTTAATTTTACATTTCTGTTTAACATTAAAAACAGATATGTTTAAAGACAATGCAAGTTAAATAACGTCTTTAATCATTGTTTTAACACAATTTTTTGCGAATTATTTCAGCAATACGTACGTTTCGAAATATTTTTAGTGCATGCACCAAGAAGATTGACGACATTTAAATGCTTGCCAAGGTGCACCATGATCTTTAATTCACTGGCAAGTGCACGTACATAAGTCGGCTCGGTAGTTCGACGTACCATTTTCACGGCGACAGTCGTGACAGTTTCAGTTTCGCATATTCCTTGCGCTTCTGCTTTCATTACAACTCCAAAAGCACCACTGCCCAATTGTTTTCCTGAAAAATAATTAGTTAGAAATAATTAGTTTCTATTGCATTAAACTGGATATTTATTTCATTAAATTTAAACTAGATTACGTAAAACAGTTGCGCTTACCGAGCTTCAATCGTTCTCTTGGAAATTCCCACTTTTTATCATAAGGAAGAAGCTCTGCTTGATCATCAACCGTCAAATCTGGATTTAGACATTCTAGAGCACCTTCTTCAAAGTGCATGAGACCTGCTTCCATCAATTCTTTTCTCATTTTCTATAAAAGGACATAATTTTTATTTCGTTAGATAGTACTATTTTTTCCATAAGATTTTGTCGCAATATAATATCAAATTATATTTTATAACTTTTATACGAATTATATCAGGAAAATAGAATACGATTTACCTTTTCACGACGAACCTTAATCGTAAAGAAGATCGCTAAAATCACTAAGATAATACCTAAAATAGCTATTGAAGCAGCTAATATTATGTCAAGTTTTTCCCCTGCAAAAATTTTTTGATTTTCAATCTGTGTGCTTATTAATATTACCTTTTACATGTGATATAATTTTCTAGATATCATTTTCTTACATTTTGAATTTTTTACGATTATCTGCTGATAAGTTTCATTGATGCCTAATCGATTCATAGCTTGGCACGAATACTTTCCGCTATCATGTTGCTTAAAATATTTAATATTAAGCTCCTGATAATTAAATTTGAATAAATATTGATCATTTTCTTTTAGCAGTACATCGTCCTGCGAATCAAAAAATAAAATGAAGGACACATTGCATTTAGTTCCACCAAACCATAAATGCACGATATGTACCTTGTACCATGCAATTATTGGCTTAGGCATCCCATCAGCAAAACATTGCAAAATCACCGTTTTATGGCCTTCGGCGATCACGTCGATATTTTTCACTGTAGTCTTGTTCATATTAGTTTTGGTAAAAAACGGCGGTACTGGATCTATACAGCATCACAAATATATAAAAAAGATAAATTACAATACGATTTTCTATAGAGATTGATTTTAGTTAAGTATGGTAAACATATTCTTTATAATAAACAAATTATAATTGGGCTTTGCACGCAATAATTTTATATCTGAAATATTTTTTTTATTTATTGTATTTTAATATTTTTAATATTTTAAGGCAAGATATTTGTATGATAATCGCTTTTTTTATATTCATTATATTATACAATGACTACAATTCAATTTTTAAAATACTTTTTTTTAATACAATATTAGATATAAAAGAAATATCAATTATATTGTAATTACCATGGGCAATTAATTTGTAGATTGCATAATCAGAAAGAGTTGTATCTAAGACGTCGTGATTCAATTCATTTGTGCATTTGCCATTGCAAATATAATCCTGAGCATCTGATTCTTGGACATAATGAATCTTTAAAATTGATCGATACGTGAACGGGGTTTTATGTTGTATAATCTGTATTCTTTCTGTTTCTATAACTGGTGTTTCATGTGTCTGGTTTTCCAATCTTGTCCATGTTAGCTCATCTGTGTAATTATAAATAGAAGCAGCACATATCAGTTCAACATTATCGCCTTTTGTTACCAATTCCTTTGGTCCGATAATACCAAAAGCACCTACTCCATCTGCGAAATTTAAGAAGTGGAAAATATTAATATTAATGATTTATAATATATTGTGACACACATTTGAAAGCATTTTAATTCTGATCAAAACTTTTTTTATAATTTTTTAATAAATTATAACTTTTTAATTTACGTATTTTTTGCATTAGATAAGATAACAATTGCGCAATGATAGATTTTAACAGTAAATAAAAATAATATAATATTTTGCAAATTTACAATGACGAGATATTGGAAACTAAATATATTTTGTAGAATAATGTAAATCATAATTTTATACTTATAGAATAGGGGGATAGAATCGTGCGCGCGCGATGTCCTCTCTATTATATTCAAAATTTAATATTATAATTGATATATATATATATACATATATTTATATTGTATATAACTAGAATAGCAATATGATTATATAAGTTTTAACAGCTAGGCAGAGTAAAATATCTCCTTACCGGATACAAAAATGTTCTCCGTCACGGCATCACAATCGAGGGAATTACAAGCCTTACATGTTACTTTCCCCGATACTTCGATAGGCATTCTTGCTCTCGATTCGAATCCGTAGCTGGAGCTGTAAACGCTTTGCATTACATCCTGTAAAATCCACAGAAGTTTCTTGTTACAGTATAGATACAAATAAATATTTATGTAAAATCAGATTTTAATAAGATTGCACTTACCGTCATTTGCACAATTGTTGAATTTTCAAGTGACGGATAATTAGGACATCTCAAAAAATTCCATGTTATGTTTGACGCAGGATGAGATAGTACTTCGCAGCGGAATTCCGCAGTTTCATTAGGTGCATAATAAGATTCAATCTCTGTTAATATGGCAACCGGCTTAGCTGAAACCAACAATAAATAAATATACTGTAGTCGTTTTTATATAATATTAGAGAATTATCTCAATACCTATGATATTGAGTGTAAAATTAAGCTTTTGTATCATGTGGTCATTTTTAGCTTCAAGAATATAATCTCCTGTATCCGTTATTTCTAAATTGCTTATCTTTAAAATGGTAGCTGTTGTACTTGTGTTCACAGAATACTTTGGACTCTCTGTAATTTCCTGACCATTTGGTTTAAACCTGTAATAAAAAATATATATATGTTTAAACGTGTTAAAAAATTTTTGTTAGCATTAATTTATTATTCATTGGCGTAATATACATATTTGCGTATAATATATATTAATATTAAAATATAACTTTTTAATTTGAATCGTATATATTGTAATAGAGCGGGAGAGAGAGAGGGAGAGACAGCAAAATTACCATTGTAAATGCGGTTTTGGATATCCATCAACATAAACGACCCATTGCACTTTTCCGCCTTTTTCACCTTGATAATATCTCTCAATATGTTGAGACGTAAGATTAATATACTTTATTTGAGGATCTGAAATTAAAAATATATTAAACGTAAAAAAATATTACTTGTACTAATACGAGATTTTCCTTGAAAGAAATTTACGTTACATGCATATGGTTATATTCTATACAGACATATCGTTTTCTCATAAATATCCAAGCGCATTCTTTAATCGTATCTAAATTAATGATAAACTGACCGTGTATCGTAATATTTTTCGTTGTCTTCTTTATGTCGTGAATCGATCTAATGACGCATTCGTACTCTCCTGCGTCCTCGTCTGTTACGTTAAATACCGTCAACTGACACGTAACTAAGAGATAATTGCCGTCGAGCTGTTTTCTAAACTGTTGAGTGCTTACTCTGCTGTTGCTCTGCAATTAAAAAAAATTACATATATGAATGATGAATATTATAATGAAAAAAATCTAGGGATATAAATAGAAAACTTTGATTATTCGTACGTTGTTAAAATATGCACGTCTAATCCTTAACAAGATACGTCAATCTAGCTCTCGTTAGTAAGAAAAATCAATATAATTAGAAAATTTTTTTTCTATTTTGAAGATTTTTAAAAACACTAACAATAAGTATTTTCGTCCACACATTACTAAGTAATTAAAGCGCGTTTTTATTTGGAATGTATTTTTGTTTTCACTATACGAAACTAAAATAAGCTATTTACCTGTTCCGGCGTGCTCCAATTAAATACATATCGGACGGATGCATCAACCTCAACGGTGCAATTCACGTATAGGTCTTGTCCGCGTGTGACATGGCGCAAAGTGTCATCGTGAATTTTCGGTTCGGGCAGAGTTTGTTTTACTGTGTAAACAATTTAATTATTCTTATTAATGTGTTACCAAGAAATTTCGGTAATTATAGCTGATACATCTTTTATATATATATATATATATGTTGCGAAATTAACATCTCGAGTTGACCGCACTTACGATGCACAGACAAGACGTAATTGACCTCGTGCTCTTCGCCGTCCTTCTCTATCGAGCACTTGTACCAGTCGCTGTCTTTTACTGTGAGGTTCCTAATCGTGAAACCAATTCTAGGATCAAATGATGCCTTTTTCTCCAACTCGTCTTCCTGTGTATAATTAAACGCGTTGAATTGTTAGAAAAGTGTCTAATGATAAATAACGATCTGATAAAATTAACACAATTACTTTTATTGCAATATAACGAAGGATTCGAGACAATAACGTGCTAAGCGTATTTTTAACATTCTCCGCAAAGCATTTTTTCAACTTATTTTTATATAAATTTCTTATTCTAAAAAATGTATTTTGAGATCATAATCGAATTTGCAAATAAGATATAAGTTAATGGTCCTATACAACTTTCTTCGTAGACACGTCGCCGCATATTATACAAATCTAAGAAACTATATCTTTTTTAGAAGGCAAATTATCTTCTACTAATTTTGTCAATACTCACGTTATTGTTGGATAAGGTAGGTACTAGATCCGGTGATGTAGGTCTGCAGGGTATTACTATACTACCACCAGCAACTGCATTCAGATGAGCAAAGGTATCCGCTTCAACGAATAAATTCGTACTAGCTGTAACAAGTTTAACGCAATTATTTTACGCAAAATGTATGAATATATTACAAACGAGATATAGACACAAATATTTTTCATTGATTCGTAAAAACAGAATATATAATTTTGTCTTACATTTTATGTAAACGTATAGCCAGTTCCTCGGTATTACCTCGGAATTATCAACGAAATTTGGAATAATTTCAACATTATAATCGACACAACCGTACCAGCCTGTATCGCCAAAAATGGTTTTTGGGCGTTGAAACATATATTTGTAAACGCTATTTTCCTTATTCTCGCTTATTCTCGGTGTTGAAGTGTTAAACTGTCATAATAATAATGTAAAGTTTATTATATAAATTGCATGCGTTTATATAAAAATTAATTTAACTTAAGAAGTAATTTCTATAGATAACATATAAATAAATATTTTTATATGGCAACTTTCATTAGATATGCTTCTTATAACTAACTGATAGGAAATAAGCCTTATACAAAAATAATTAATCTAATTATTAAAATTTGAAGTAATTTTTTATAGAATTATTTGTCCAATTTTTCTATAGAGAAATGAAACACATCTTAATATCTGAAATATAATGTAAAATACTCGGAAAAATCAAGCTACAAATAAAAAAAATATTGGAACCTATTCTAATAAACTTTATAATATGCATACTGCTTCTATAATGGCATCAGGATAAACAAATTTAACTGGTGTTAAGCCTGTGCATGTAATCTCTAAAGATTCTCCTTCATTTAACACAATTTCTTCTTTGCTTGGCGAAATAATTGGTTTGCTACTTTCCGATGCTGAAAAACACAAAATTATTCGTGTAGTTCAAATATAATTTAAAACTATTAGAATTTATTCTAGAGATAATTTTTCTTATAATTATATGACATAATGATATATTTTATTTCTAAACTTTGTATCAATTCTTTTAATTGTTCATCGATATTTTTATATTGCTATTTATCTCGCGATAATGAGAAACATTTATATCGGAATAATTGTTGCTAAATGTTTGCGCATAAGTGAGAATATGATTAAGAGTTTCGAGAGAAATGTCGTCGCGTTAGCCGCAATGTCCTGCGGATGATTGGCTTTATCTGGCCCTCCTCGTTACTCTTCTGCACAAAAGGACGCACGTGCCGTTTCAGTCTGTTTCTGCGCAAATGCGACCCGTGACTAGGAAGGAAGTCCTTTTTTCCTCTCCCGATAACGTGCTCATATTATCAGCCAGTATGCTTGTGTAGAAGTCATAGGAAACACAGGACTGAGCAACTGAGATTCACAAATAAATGGATTGTTTCTAACTATATCATAATTTACAATAGGAAGGATTGCATATGATGCAAATTTATGACGGGAAGTTTACAAACGTATTTGCGCATAATCTTTGCATCATCATGTATGTAAATATGATAAGGTTAAAACGTATTACATTTAATGCTGAATTGCATAAAAATAATGCTACTACATAACTCAGAATATCTTTGTATTATTTGAAAAACTACATATCAAAAGATAGTATCGTATCTAAAGATGAAGGTGTTGCGGGATGATAGAAAATAAAAGGCAAACTTTATCCAAGGCAAACTACAACAGAATAAACAATTTAGATGTTTGTATTTAAAAAAAGATTTAATAATGATAATCTCTTCTCTCTCTCTCTCTCTCTCTCTCTCTCTCTCTCTCATTCTCTCTTTTCTCTTAAAATTTTTATTTAATGTAATATTTAACAGGAATGTCAACTTTTATAAACTGTAGTGAAAGTGAACTACTTTTTGAGGAAAGTATTTAAATTTATTTAAAATATTTCAAAACAAAAATTATATTCCAAAGAATATTGCAAAGTAGAAAAAAATCTTAAATTTTAGTTTTCATAATTCTCACAATTTTTACATTTACAAAGGAAGAGTAAAATGAGATGATTGCAATGTGACGGTGTTATAGTATCGATAATATGCATTTTTTTCTGAGTTATGCTGTCATCGAACAAAATATTGCGAATAAACTGACTAATGCAATCAAGCATGACTCGTTTTATGTAGTCAATATCATTGACGCCTCTTTTGTACGATCGGAATATTGCAGAAATAATTCTCTTCTTGCCGCCTATCATGCTTTTCATAGTAACAATGTAGCATCTTTATTTATTATAAAGCATCAATGTAGCATCTTTATTGCAGCATTTTCATTTTTTGATTGATCATATTATATTAAATGACCTATAAAATTATCGCCACTTATTAAAACGCCAACGTACGAGATCAAATTCAATGAAATTTCATGATTGATATACCGCTGAGAAATGATTGACTCAGAAATACTAGTAATAAATACTAGATGTATATCTCACATAACATATATCTTTATTCGATGCAGAACATTAACTGTATGATTATCCTATATTGCGAATATAACAACAGTTTGACAACAGTTGCACTTGATTGCTAATGTAAGTGTTATTGCACATTTTATTTAAATAATTAATTAATACTTGTATAATAAAAGTTTGTTATAATTTGATTTTATTGACTTGTTTCTGTATAATACATAACATAGTATTAAAAACTTATCATTTTCCAAAATTCTCTTTGTCTAATATAATAGTATCGTTAATGACAAAATGAATTAATGAGTTTAGCTACAGGTGAGATTCATCGTTCTTTGGGCATGATTCATTCAGGCATTCGTTTCATCCATGCTTCACAATATCGATCTATTTTATATGATAAAAACGACTCGACTGTTTTACAAGATTATTTATAAAAAACTCTGTTAAACGTTTTTGCCGTGTTCAGATGTAACATTTGCAACAAAAGTTTTAAGCAAATACAATTGACAGTTTATGATAATCTTTACGTTGCTTACGTTTTAGAACTATGATTTCAAGAAAACAGCCACGAAATTTCAGATTAAGTACTTTAATATTTATATAACTGTTTTCTTTATAAAACCATAGTTAGAAAAAGCTATAGAATTTTAAATTAGATATTTTTGCAAGATCTATCAGAATGAGAAACATTTACAATTTATTTCACTTAACATTTTCTTAAATATACACGAACAAACTAAAATATTAATCGAGGTTTGATGCACGTGCACATGCGTTTCTTTCCAAATGATTTAAAGAATTACTGAGACGCTATTGAGGCAACGAATTGCTGAATAGCAATGAAAAAGTTTCCACATCGTATATTCTTCGAGTAAAATCTGACCGCGACACCAATAAAAGTGACTCAATGACAACCACGTGACCACTTTATACTTGTCACACACACACGTGAAAACACACACCTACACGCACACATGTGTATGACAGATGCGTCGTGCGCGGGCAGGTACGCCAGATTGCGTTAATTACCTTTGCAGAGCGTGAAAACGACGAGTACTAAAACGCGGTATCGTACGTAGTGCAGAAACATTTTCGTTTCTCTTATGCTTTACGGGTTCTCACATTTTTGCATACCGGTATTGCTTAATGAATATTGTCGAATGCGAGCGCGCGCGAGAATAGGCCCCGGAGTTGCTCTTCGAGGGCCCAACCGCTCTCTACTACGTTCTACGGTCACTTTCACACTGAGTCTCTCGTTGTAGAAACGACTAAACGAGCAGGCCCCACCCGGCCGGTTTCCCGTTCGAGTACAACTTATCGGAGACGACGTCATCTCGTGACACCATCCGCTTTCTGATGCCAAGAGTTACCTACATCGAGCTAATTCCTCACAGTCGTGCATCAGACCGACCGGCAATAGTTAAGTTTTTATTGCAAGTTACACAACCGAAGAATTGACATTAGATGCTCCGATTCTGCAAAGATTCGTTCGCATCGTATAGATAAACTAGATATAATTACGTGGCAGTAAATCATTTTCGCACAAGACAAGGTAATACAAATTATTTTTGAGTATATTTAGGAATAAATATTTGTGATATATGTTTCTTTAAAATACGATTATTATATAAAATATTACAAAGAGATATCGGGGGGATGTTCTTCTAATGATAAATTTTTTTAAAATTAAGCCTTGATTTTTCTTGGGAAAACTATGAAAGGTAAAAGTTGATCTTCATTGGAAGACTTTCCAATCTCTCGCATACCATATGTTTTTGTAACTGAACCTAAAAGGAATTAAAGTAAAATTCTACATAAAATTAACTGAAGAATGTAATTTTGTTATCCATTTGGTTTTTTAAACTTCAAAAGAAATTTACGAAAAACTTTTTTTAATCATTTATATCTTGGAAAGTATATCTTGATATTTTTGCTTAAAAATTTGATTGTCATTAAAAAAAATTGGTGATTGATCAGGAGATTTTGAGATATTCTATATATCATGCCATATTCAACGAAATAATTACAAGATTGATAAATATCAAGTATATTGATTATTTATATAAAATTAATGTGTATCCTAAAATGTATTTAATTTGGATTATTAACGTTTCTGATTCTCGTAGAATTTTAATGTTTAAATTTGCTTTAAAGTATGAAATCGAAAAATATTAATATGTAAAAAATAAAATAACATAGTTGTTGATTTTTGAGAATATTCAAGATATGTAATGTAGTAATAAACTTATTATATCATAGATATTTTATTTGCTACAAATGCGAAATATAGTTATCTAGCAATCACACTGTCTTCTTGATTGTATAATTAAAAGACATACTTATATATTAAACATTTTTGTGTAATAAAAATGTTGAATATATAAGTAATAATCTTTAACCGGTCTTTTATTCGCGTGCATTTAAGAAACTTACTATTTGAAAGCAGAAGCCGAAAATGTTATAAATAGAGATCTCGTTGTTGATGATCGTTCCCATGAAACCCTGAGTGAGTTTATATAGTTTGATATTTTAGGCACAAGATACTTCTCTCTGCTAAACGGCAATTTTCAATGAAATTATGAGGGGAGCATCTTCTTATATATATATGGCAATTTTTTTGGCTAAAATAAATTTACTGAATCTTTGTGTTCATGAAGTTTTGCACATTTGTTGTGTCGAGAATATGGCTTTTAAATTAGCATGGTCTAGTTGTGAAGAATAGCGGTTATTGAACTGATTAGCAGAAAGAGTTGGCATGATTAACACGTCTTCATTTCTTGACAATAGCTTTTTCGTATTTTTTATTTTCTTTAAAATATATATAACAAGAAATAAACTGATATATAATTCTATATGAGACATATTATTAATATCTGTGCAAAAATTTTTACTTTATTACAAAGATTATAATTGATCATCGGTAGATCATTGGTTATTGTCTGTTGCATCTTCCGAGCGCTATATTCTGATGGCGTTAGTCTATCAATTAATTATCCTAGTACATTTTTTAATACACAATCTTTATTTCAATAAAAAAAATTCAAATTGAGACAATATTGATTTCTAATGCAATTTTATTTTGTAATTATCTAAAATTCAATGCAAAGAATAACCGTAATAGAATAGATAAAATGGACATTAGTCATACATTTCAAAATAATATAATACTAACAAGTATAAGTTAGATAAATGTAATAATATTTATATTTTATGTGATAATATCTATTTATTAATAGTTTCCTCATTGTGCAAATCTTCGAGGTATTTCTCTGTTTCTCAAAACATCAGAGTTTACAATAATCTCTCTAAATATAATAAAGTGCGTGTTATAAACCGCAGTTTCCGCTGATGTATCATATCTCTAGACAGTCTCTGCACATTTCTTTATGCAGCCGAATATTGTCGCAGATAGAACTGCCGCTGATAAATGAAGCGTCTTTGTATAAAAAATCATTCAGCATTGCTCTTAAAGAATTAAAATTATATAATGGATGCCGATTTTCGAATACTTATATGTGTAATAATAACGCCTGTCTTAATTATTTTAAGTTTGATATAATAAATATGATATCATACACGCACAAATTACATTAAAAATGTATAAGAGAGTAATAATAATATTTATATTCAACGTATTAACATAAAATATATACAATTAAATTTGTTATTATAAATTACGAAGAGATAGGACAAAATTTCTTTACAACCATTAATCAAAATATGTTTGTAAAGATACAGAAATCTACTATAAATTACTTTATACAAAAATTTAAAATATAGCAAATTTTTTCAATTTCAAATAAGAAGATCTAAATCTCCCGTAATGCATTATATTAAACATATGTCAATTTGATCGTGGACGATGAGTTAAATTATTATCTGTCAGAACAGCGACCCCAAACTTAAGATAGAGTGCTATAGACCTCGTTGCTATCGGCAGCAACAGGTTTCTGATCATTAACACCCACACTTATTGCGTAGGAATTGTTGTCAGTGACATATCTCCAGAGTTTTGTTTTCGTCTTGTTTGTTGAGATATCCATTTCTGTTAATCTTATTGTTCATAAATTATGCTGATTTCTTTTTTATGGATAATATATCTCTTTAAAATTAATTACACATATAGTTTTTACTTTATTTAGTTTCACTTGATAATGTTAATATAATACATGTAATATGTAAAACAGTTTTACTTAGAAATCGCTGTAAAAGAAAAAATATTTAGTAGTATATCTTAAGAGATATCTTTATTATATATTATAATTATAAAATTATAATTTCGCGATTTAATATATATTTTATCTAATCATAGTTGAAAAAGAAACGACAAAAGATTATACTTATTTCTTAAAAAGTATGAATTTTTACATTTGTGAGAGAGAGGAACATATCGAATTGTCGTTAATATTTGTATAGTTATTGAGCTACTAAATATATTCTACTTAATCTATATATAATTCGTATTAGACACATTATATCGCTCATAAGTACATGCTTATTTATTAATACTTTGCAACTTTTTTACTTAAAAATTTTAGTATGATTTGCAGATATATTTGACTATTAATATTAAAATAAATTACTCTGTATATACTTATGAGCGATAATATATGGTTATGGATATATGTACCCTCTAAAAAAACTTTTTTTTGAAAAGGTTTTTTTAGAGGATTTTTTTCATTTTTTTTTTTTACGGTAGTTATGACTTGACTACCGCTCTACCGCATCGCTTGATAAATTGAATGATGTATGTTATACTATGTTCATTTTGAGGAACACATCTCATCGCACTGGAAGAAATATAAATTTATTATGAACTGTATATATTTAACGAAATTAATATTCCGTTCTTCTGATAACTAACATACATACTGCCCGAATTTTCGAAACTACAAGATATTAATTATCTATCTTGTTATATGTACATTTTGAAATACTTAATACTAGTTTGCAGTCTTCTCGTTAAAAATGTGTACGTATATCACGACTCATGTTTAGCCTTGATATTTTTAGGTGCCAGATAATTTTACTTGCTAATACATTTTTTAAAATACAATATTATATGAAGAGAATAAAACTTTGTGTGTATGGCGAAAAATAAGATATAACTTAAAAATTGTTTCAAGTTTTTTGAGTAATTTAAATTCTAATAATATTTTTTTCCAAAACAAAATATTAATAAGATTATAATACTAAAAAAAATATATACGGCTTCTACAAAAAAAGATTTAGTGCATCTGTAATTTCTTGATGACCTCAAAGTGATAGAAAGTATTTGATTATTGTACTATTTACAGTAAAACTAATAAATTTCTATTTATATTTTTTTGTCAAATGTCGAATTTTGTAGCCCGAAAGTATCATGGCATTTAATATGATGAGCAGGATTATATATTTTAAGCAAAATAATATGCCATAAAAGAATCAAACGAAACTATTATCCATGAACAATTAATGAAGACTTAATCCTAAAACGGCATTATAAGTATGAAATACCCGGAAATTTTTTTTATCGTTGCATTTTTTTTTTTTTTTTTTTGTTTTTTTTTTTTTGACGGGGGGGAAATGCATTTACGCATACCCCGCGGGCGGGCGTTGCTCCGCGGGGTTATGTGGGACTCGCCCTGCAAGTTCCGCAGGGAATACCCACTAAAACCCCCCCGGGTGTCCATCTCGGCGTATATGTCTGGGAGTGCGCGGGAATCGCGGTCAGCATTCTTCCGCTCACCCCCAACCGCCACCTCGGGAATTTTTTTTTTCGTTTTATTTTTTTTTTTTTTTTTTTGGTTTTGTTTATCTTACTTATTGTAGTTTTTTTATTAATAAGGATAATAAAATTTTTTGCCGCGCTTGTATAATTTTTACTGCTTTTAGATAACGATAAAAAAAATATGTTTCAATATGTGTCATTTTTATGAAAGTTATAAGAAGTCAAAGTTAGTTCGGATATGCCATATCCATGATATCGTTCTTGTCATAAAGCTGATATAGTATCATTGTAGGGTTAAGTTAAGATATGATGCTGTAGTCCACGTGGTTATCAGCAGTTGCAGATGTCTGGTACTTGTAGATATCCGATCGGTTATAGTTATCGCACAGGAATTGAATGTCAATATTTACGATGCTTTATTCTTGTTCGCTGTTTAAGCGAGATGTGTTTTCATTCGTCAAATCGTGTTCAGATATTTCTGCTGTTGGATCGCTCTTGACAGTCCGCACCACTAGGGCTTCTTCCGCGTAATTAGTAAATTTCTCCAAACTAATCGCACATGTAGCTGGTATTATTTCCTTTTTGTCGTATTTTCTACTGATCGGATGCGTGTCCTTCTCCGACTTGCACGCATCCTCCAAGAAGTTCTCTCGCGAGCAACACTGGGAGGAACTGCAGTGTTCCCCGTGACAACGAATCAGACAATCAGTTTTCTCCATATTCGGTTTTATCTGATGACACAAATCATTATCCGTTGAAATGATTTTAAAGATAGAAAGACGAAGTATTAATATATTCTGCGTACCTTATGAAATTCTGGCTGTATAGTAACCTGCGTAATGCCCATTTCGACAAAAAAGGCGGTGACTTGATCCGTGATACTAGCATAAACCTGATGGAAAAAAATCGGGATATTTTTAACGTAATAAACGAATAAATGAATCTCTTTTACTTATTTATTTTGATCGGCATCGTTCAAATCAACGTGAACAAAGAATTGTGCGAGAAAAGATAAATTTGAAGGAAAATAATTTACGATATCCATATTAACCATTAATTATCGTGTAATATTTGTTCTGTAAAAAATCTGTGCGTATACTTAAATTAATCTCTCTTTGCATACATAAACTGTGCAAATGCTGCTGAAATCTTTTGTGTAACCTCAATCGTTGATTTTTCCTCTCATTCTTGTTAGCATAATTTAATAATATATATATATATATATATATATATATATTTTGTTTAATTAAAAAAAAAAATGTCGAACTAATATTTTTTTCACTAAAAATTATTAAGTAATTTCTATTAAATGTAACTTATTTTATAATAAATCAATTTAGCTTGTGATTTGATTTTCCTTACCGTTGGATCTAAAAATATGATATGTGCTGTAGAAATGATTTTTTCTCCTGCTAATTGCCATACGTGTAAGTCATGGACATTCACGATACCCGGAAAAGCTTGCAACAATTCTCTTTTGAGAGAATCTATGTTTATATGATTTGGAATTGTTTGAAGCAGAATTAAACCTGATTCTTTCACTATAGAAAGAAATAATGAGAAAAAGAAAGGAGCTGATTATTTTCAAGAATTAATATATTAGTCACAGGACAAAAACAAATCTCTAACTAATTATATTATTTTTTTTTTTATACAAGTAAGTATCACATTTTACATTATCTTATTATTTTGGATTTATTAAAGAAAATATACTCACTGTATGGATAGCAAAGAACGAATAGTGAAATTGATGAAATAATGGCAAAGACTGGATCAATGTATTTGGCCACATCGGAATCGGTGAAATAAACTAAAATCGATACTAGTATGACGAAAACGCATCCGAGAACATCCCGACACATTTCCCTAAAGCCTTGGCTTTTTGGTATTGCCAATGGACTTCGCCTAGTTTGTGCCGACAACTGTTGCTCGCCATCCTTTCTTTCTTGTGAATTCACATTTCTAAAATATCAAATACTTGGTGATAATATGGATTAATTAATACGATTGGCAAATCGTATTCTGCCATTAAATAAATATGTACAATGAAATATTTCAAGAATTCTATATTTTGATTTGTTTTTGTTTACGAAGACATATTTAAAAAACTCTCTAACATTTAATATAATACATATAATACATACAACTGCACGTTTCAACTGGGATTTCAAAAATAAAAAATGTGTATATATACATAACTTTATCTCGCTTGTTACTTAATACAAACTCATAAAATGCTTGTCAAGTACTTAAAGAACGATTCAAATTGTGAGTGTGAATTATCGTGCATTTCTTGTTCTTCGACTGTTTGTAATTTGAATCTATCGAAAATTACCTGCAAAGTATTACGTCTCCTTTCTCAGTGACGTGCACGAAGATTCCCTGATTAAACGCGAATCCTCCGATTAAAATATAACATAAAACATTCAAGAGTATTCCAGAAGCACCGATGCACAGCACGGGCAACGGGTGATGCATTTCATCCAGATGATCGATGTGCACCAATGTCTGCAACGCCTCCATTAGTAGGGAGAAACAAAAAGATGCCAAAAACACACAGCAGACGAGCATCGTGACAATGTCGATTCTGGCCCATCCAAATGTGTTTTTCATTTTTCTGTCCGACCATGATTCCTGTAAAGCAAGTTTTTTACTTCTGAATTATTATAAACGAATTATAATAAGCGCTTATGAACGTGTTTTTGTAGCATGCTTTAAATAAAGGATTTTATTTTTTTAAATAGGACATTTTTAAATAATTGTTATTTATGAATGTTTTATAAAATTTTTACTAAAAATAATGTATATTGAAATCTCTTTTTTATGCAGATCTTATTTAAGAGATTCTTTTAAAATTTATTTCGAATTTTTATCATAAAGCTATCATGCAATGAATGCAAATAAAATAAACAAAACTGAAGTTATTATTATTAGTTTTTTTATCATTATAATTTTAAAATAGGACAATAATTATAGCTTTATACTCCAAAAGAAATATTTCATATTGCATCATGAAAATTTTGATACTTCAAGAATTTATTTACAGAAAGCAAAAGATATTTTTTTCTATGCAGATTAGTGATGACTTTAAACTTTTATATATAATATCTTATAATATTTATAATATTTTTGAGCGTACCTTCGTTTTCGTTGATAAAGATGTGACAGAACCCTGTTCCTCTCCGTTAATGCAAATTGATGAATTCCCCACTGAACTGCAATTGCTATTGCTACTGTACCTTTCTCGATAGCTATACTGCAAACAATGCGATTATGTGTAATTGCAAATTTTTTTCCGTAATATAAGATTACATCAAGATCTTGTATATCTTTATCAATTTCTAATAAGAACAATCGTGTATACTTTACGTTTCACTAAATTCAACGGAGTCATTATGAACTTGTCTCAATTATCGAAGCGACACATGTCAATGCAAATTTTTCTAGCTCTAGATTTTTTCGCATTTTTCTTCAAAAATATCCAAAAAATGAAAGATCGCTTATATCTGTTCTTGCAGGTTGAATATTATTTATATTATTAAACTTAAGAAGTTACATTTTATGTCATTTATTCTATAACAAAGTTAAGTTTTTTTCTAATTGACTCTTTTTCTCTAATATGTTTATAAAAACAATGATTACGTGAAGAAGAATCATTTGAAATCGCGATGGGCACGGAGTAGATTGAAAGCTTAATTACATCATTGTCATTTCATAAGCGAGACTTACGAATGATTTGCGGATTTTCGCACTTACCTTGATCGAGGCGATACAGCCGACGAGTGCCACGATGTTGCAGAGCATGTGATATGCGTTGAGGAGTAGAGTTAGCGAATGCGTCACATGACTGGCGATGATCTCGATTAAGAAAAAAGTCGTGGTAAAGAATAGCACCAGGTATAGCTGCACCGGTTGCAGCCTTCTGAACCACTCTTTCACAGCCATGACCCTGCTCGCAAAGTCACGTGGTGAACGTTTCTATTCTTTGATGATATATCGCGATAATATATGAAGAACTGTTATATTTCACGATCGCACAATATCACTGTGTAACCACCGAACCTTCCGTATTATTTGTAACTGCATTCGATTAATTTATTTACAGAATTTGTTTTGGAAACCTATAGAAAAGATAACTTCTCTGAATAAAGTTGTGTAAGTTTTTTTGAAAACTTCGGAAATATGTTAAAACTAGAACTGTATTGTGAGTAAAAAGCGCAATCATCTTTTTATTCGCAAAAACAACTCACATATTTACTTGAATAAACGAAAATTAATTTAGATCTTGATGTGCAGAATATATTAAATTATCTACTTTAAGTTATAGTTTGTCTCTTTTTATGTAAATTATAGTTTATATGCGAAAAAAAATTAAGTACGATTGAATAAGTGAATTAAAAAGACTCAATTTAAACGTTTCCTTTAATCGGTAATAAAGAGGACAAAAATAATCATAGCTTTTATAATAATGGAAAATACGTATATAAAAAGACGTATATTCATTGAGGGGAGATTACGCATTGTTTATGAGATCTTTCTCAAGCGACACATCATAAGACAATCTGCAAACTTTATACGTACTATTTAAGGAAACAAAACATGAATGCTAAATTTATCATGTTTGATAAGGCCATTAGCGAATGTGGTCAGTTTAAATCATCAAATTACATTGCGAATAAAGACTCTTTCTTATAAATAAATCTCGTCACTATGATATTTTAGTTAAAAATTTATACTTTTTAATTTAATCTTTTGTTATATACGCTTTTATTCTTTTTTTATTCGATATTCCGAAGTATCGCTTTTATATATTTTAATATCACAGGATTTTAAGAAAAAAAAAAATGTTTCGGTTATATTTAATAAAAAAGAATTAGATATATATAGAATTATGTATGTGTGTGTATGTGTATGTGTAAAATATATAATTTTTAATTTGACGTTACCTATATATGCACCCACATAAAAGTGCGCTCAATCACTCAATGCACATGTTGCTGCATTTAACAGCGAAACTTCGTAAATTGAATAATGTCTAACACGATTTTTTTAAGCAAATATCGCATATATATATATA